TGAGGTTTGACAGAGACACCTGAGCAGCACCAGTGAGTTGGATACTGTCCCAGAAACTGCTGGAAGTGCTTTGGTAAAGTGGTATCTTTAGTTTTTCCCCCAGTCAGGCAAAAGTTTATAAATTACAGAAATTACTAAAGGTGCAGATTTTAAAAAATATTTTAACAGAAGGGTACAAGAGTAGTCTAACAAAAGAGCTCTTATAGATCAAAACTTGCATCCAAGATGATTCTCCACATATTCTCTAGCTAATACATGCTTTGCTGCAGCTGAGTCTTTCTAGGAGCTCTTCAAGGACACCAAGACCGGAAAGCATCCAAAGGGCTCCAGGGAGCGCCCAGAAGAGAGGAGGAGGACTTTGCTGCTGTAAGAGAACTACTGGTCAGCTTAGCTCAGAGGCGCATTCCACTCATGGCAGTGGTGAGCAGCACTCAGCTTCTCCCATAGCCCCAGGCATAACCCAGCACCACCACTGATCCCACCCCAGCCACAACACAAAGGGGTACAACTCCACACACACTCACTGCTCTTCTGCCCAGGACCTGAAGAAGGTCATGTTTTGCCATCAGCAATTACAAAAAGCAAGTGAGAATGGGATTAATACAGAAAAACTGGTGAAGAAAGGAGCTATTCAGCCATCATCTACACTAATCTGCAAACACGCCATGCCCCTGTCACCCACAGCTTTAGTCAACACAGGTAAAGCCAAAAGTATCCTGACTTTGCTCTCAGCACAGGATGGCTCCTCATGCTATTTCCAATTTGAAATATTTCTGGAATGCACTAAGTGCAAAGTTGTTCAGCCCCTGCCTAAGACTGAGGGTTTGGCAGTTGTGTATCACAAAGCTTTTCATTTAACATATGCCGGTATCAATATCAATTAGGCTAAGTGATAAGGGCTACATTAATAAACTGAACCCTGGCAACATTTATTTGTGAAAATACTGCTGCTGCTATTACATATTTCAAGAAGTCAGATTATTTTTCAGTAGTTTTCTCCTACTTTCTTTTTCTATTCCAACCTTATTTGTAGATAAGATAATTCATATAAGCAATTAACAAGCCTGAGCACAATTGACCCAAATGATATCAGATATCAGGCAGGGGAAAGGTTCTTCCTTTATTTCATACAGCAAGCCCCAATTTCTGTCTAGAAACTCTCATTGTGGTATAGCAAGACAACACACAGAACTGTGATAAAAATGAGAGGAGGACAACCTTCTAGCTAACAAATAACTTCTTCTATGTCACAGGTCCATGGCGGTACTCTAGATGTGAGACTTATCAGCCTCCAATCCTCTGACCTTGTTTCTCCCTTGACTAGCCCTTTGCCTTGAATCAGTGCCAAGAAATAATCCTTTTCAGCATGCTTTCCCCTAATTATTTTTTGTCTGATGAGCCACCACATCAAATCACAACCCCAGGCATGAAAAAGACACCAGCCACCTAAGGAGCCAGGCTCAGGAGCTGGCTCATCACATCCCATTTCTTCTCTCCTGGCCACTTTGTACTTCCACTCAAAACTGGAAGCACCAACAAATAACAGCCACTTAGCAAGTGGCTGTTATTTGTTGGTGCTTCCAGTTTTGAGTATGAGTAAGCCCAGGAACAAGAGTAGAGCTCTGGGAGGAACTTCATTCACACAACTCCAGAGACAACAGCCTTACTGAGGATCTCTAGTGGGGGGCACTCAAACTGCTGGTTATTTGTGCTGCTATGGACAATGAATTCAGCTCAGTGTATCAATCCTCAAAATTTTCACATTCCCACTACCTCATACACTCACTCAAGCCTTCCCATCACCTCTACATTCCTTCAGACTTATAGATGAATGAAAAACACACACAGACAAGGCTCACCTCTTAAAAACAAATATTTCAAACACACAAAGTTCTGGAATTGTGAAAAGAGAAAAAAAAAAAAAAGGGGTACTTTCTGGCAGAGAATTTAAGGTAGTAGTACCAGAACTGAGACAAACTATAAATAATTACTATAAACACGTTTGTTTCTAGAGAATAAAAAGTTAGCACTCCAGACTGATAATGGCATGAGGCAAGCAAAAAAAAAAAAAAAAAAAAAAAAAAAAAAAAAAAGTTACAACACATGTACGTTGGTTGTAGTCTTAAAAGGAGAGGTCTCAATCGAATGAACAAATGGTGATTCAGAATGGAAATAATCCAGTTTCCACCGACTTTCAGAGGAGAACAAACACAGCCGTTACTTATACTTTGTCAGAGCAGCAGAATGACCCTGCTAACAGCTCGGGGGGTTTTATTTTGTTAAATGAAGCAGCTTTACACGTTAAGACTGACGTGTGACTCAAATCAGTCAGCTGCCAAGAAAAAGATAACTGGAGGGTAGAGCAAGAATCAACATGGCACCATCTCTAAATTCACTTATTATAACAATGACATTTTAAAGACAAAGCCCAGAATACATACGCAGATTTTATCACATTCATAAGGCTACTTTAAACCTGAAACGTTTATGTTTCATAGACAGCACAGAAGTCTGATTAACTTCATTAGTGCCTCAAAGAAACTCATTTTTAGTTGGAAAACACATTTTCAAAGGTCAGATATGCAATACTCCGCTCACACTCCCATGTCTGTGCACAGCCAGCACACCAAATACTTCTTTCTGTAGTTTTCCAGCTATAAGTTAGAGCCAATCTTTCATTTGATAATTTACGCATAAAGTTGCATCTCAAGAAAACCCACAAGCTCCTCTGAGGACCATGTGACCAGCCATGCTCCACCTACACCTTCCTACAGGAACACTGTTGTAATACTGCACCTGCTGGGAAAGGGTGGAGCAGGGGGGTGACAGGAGAAAGAACTTCCCCAAGGATGACAAGAGACAGCTTTAGAGATAAGCACAGCAAAATTTGTAGCTGTCCCACCAGGGCATCACCACTCTCCAGGGGGAGCCACGTGTGCCTCATACACACCCCACATGCACATCCAGCCTAAACCTGGCCTTGCTGAAAGGGAAGTTGCAACCAAGGAAAAGGAAGCATCCAAAGCACAGCAACAGCAGAGCCAGTACCACCAGTCAGCACCAGAGCAACAGGAACTCTTTAAAAATTACAAACCGCACAGGTGTGCTGACGAAAATCTTAACCTGAGCTGTCTTGGGCTTTCAGGACAAACCTTTGCTCAGGGAAATGTTCCAATAGTTTTGGTTGTGCAATAACAACAGCAGTTCCAATTGGAAGGAACGACACACGAGATCTCATGTGCCAACAAACCCGGGAAGGCACCATTCCCCTCTGCCTCATGTCCCACTCACACCATCCCAACCTTCAGTCTGCCAACCCATGCTGCCAAGGTAGCTGAGACTGAGCCACCTCTTTTTTGGGGGACTGGAGCTTCTCAAAGAGGAGGAAGGCACCACGTTGAGAGTTTGAGCGGGTGACAGAGGACCTGGCACACAGGAGTGGTGGTGGTGCTTGTACAGGAGACAGACCAGCGGGGGGAAGCCTGCGGCTGGAAAGGAAGGGATGGAAGGAGGTAGGAAGAGGGGCCACCATCAGTGGCAACAAACCACTGGGTCTATCAGTGGCGTTTTCTGTGACTTCTCTATCACTAACTTTAACTTAAAGTTAAGTTAACTAACTTAAAGAGCAGCTTCAGGATTTGCCAAAGAGCAAGGCCAGAGATTGGGGAGCTCTTTTTCCCACATTCCTCTAGATTAAGCTAAAATCCTTGGACAGTCTGCCTCCCCTGCTTCTAGTGCTGAGCCATCTAAGGTTTTAAATATTTGTTTACTCTGAAAACAAAGCACAATTATTAAACAGCACTTTATTTTCTTTTTCCTTTGAAGAGGCTTAGAGAGGCAAATTGCTCTTATTCACTCAACTCGAAGGCAATACGCTAAATGCAAATATTTTATTTAAAAGACTGCACAGCTTGAAACTTAAACCTCAGGGCTGCCCAATTTCAAAGGAAACATATTGCATGTATTGTTCATGATAATAATGGCCTCAGCTCCACTTCAGCAGAACCAGTGCAGTTAAAGGCAACAGAAATATTTAAAAGGCACAAATTTCACATCAGACTCTTTAGGTAATTTACAGTCACTTCAAATAACTCACCAGTTATTTTGTACATAAGGACTCATACTTCAAGAGCCTTTAAAAGGACTTACAGCTAGCAGTTAAACAGACTGTTTAGGCTTGAGGATGGGCATTTTTTGCAATCAAGCAGCTTTGGAAATTGAGGAAAACACCACACACTGTCCCTATGAACTGTATTCATAACTGGAATTATTTTGGGGTCGCACACAGGGTTAGATACATGGGATTTCAACAAGCATCCAGGAATTTCAAGAGATGCAGAGCTTGTAGTGAGCATTAAACCATCTGACTCGTCTGGGCATATAAACCTTTCCACTTCCCTGCATCTACTGTTTACCAGTTGTTCTACATAAATAATACCATTCTCTGCTGAAAAACTCGGGCACGATCCCACACAGAGCACAGACCGAGGAACTTCTGCTCTTTACAGAGAGTTCAGCTGCCCCTCTGGCGTCCAGGGGAAAGGACTTTGTGAAGTTACTTGCATAATCAATACTCCAGCAAGCAAGGATGTAAAGATCAAATAATTTTTCTTGTTAGCATTTTCAAAGAGAAAGAAGAGGGAGCGTTCTGACTAGAAGTGCTGAAACTGAAATGTCCCACCGCGCAAACATTACGGACGCGATTCCACCCCACCACCCCCGTCCCATTTAAATAACTAATAGTTATTAAATCAGCAGCAGCACACGGGGATAAAGGCAGAGTCACCAGTCTCCCGCCTGCGGTGCCGCCACCTGAAGCGAGCCCGGGCTCGGCCGCGCACCGGGCGGGTCCCGCCGGCCCGGGCAGCCCCTGAGGGGCAGCGGGGAGGGGACGGCAGCTGAGCCCCGGCTGGGGGTGATGGGGAGCCGGGGTGCGGAAAGCGAGCCCAGGGTGGCGGGAGCCGGCCCATCCCTACCCCTGTCCCCGTCCCTGTCCCTACCTTCCCGCGGGAGCAGCTGTGCCGAGGCGGCCAGGAGCGCGGCCAGGAGCGCGGCCAGCGCTCGGCCCGCCGCCATCTCCCCGCATGGGCCCGGCGCCGAGGCGGGCGGGCGCGGGTCCCCTCCGGCGCCGCCGCCGCCGCTTCCTGCTCCACCTCGCACCTGGAGGGACGGGCCGGGCTGGGCAGGTGAAATCCCTCCTCTTCCTCCCGGCCGGCTCGTCCCCGCCCGGGCGCTGCTCCGGCCCGGCTCTGGCGCGGCGGGGTGGAGCCGGCTTGGCAGGGTGCCGGAGGTGCGGGTCCTTGGCAGGGAGGTGTTATTCCTGCCCTAAACGCTTTTCCCTGCCCATTCCCGACAACATTTACACTTACCGAAAGGGGTTTGTGTCGTCGGTCACCAAGTTGCCCTCTCCCCCTCGGCGGTGTTACCGCGTAAAGGGCCCCTTGCCAGCCAAAGCATCTCTGAGGTTCAGTGCTTAAAGGGAGCTTAAAGTTGGGGCCAGACTTTTTTTCCCAGACAAGGGGTAATGATTTTAAACCACTTTGGCAGATTCAGACTAGAGATTAGGAAGATGTGTTTTGTGCTGACGGTGGTGAACCACTGGCAGAGGTTGCCCAGAGACGTGGTGGATGCCCCATCTCTGGGAGCATTCACAGACAGGCTGGACAAGGCTCGGAGCAAGCTGGTCTATTTGAAGATGTCACTGCTCATTGCAAGGGGTTTGGACTTGGTGGCCTTCAAAGGTCCCTTCCAATCCAAACCATTCTGTGTTTGGAAGTGCCCCGTTTCAGACAGAAGCAGGTTCCTCCCAGCGAACAGCAGTTTGTATTCTGCTTGTTAAATATCTGGGGACTTTGCAAGGGAAAACTGAGCAGAAACCATCGTGACATAGTCCGGAGTAGATGTTTGCCCAATGACTAAATACCTTACTAACGTCAGACAGCTCATCTCCTAGTAATTCCATGCAGTTGCTTTGGAGCATTTGTTTCTTTGGCAATATCATTACAAAACCCCTGCAGATTTGTACTAGCCCACAGCAGCACCTGGCTATTATAGAAATGTATGGGAATGTACACAAGAATATTCATGTTCAAAGAAGGAGAGAAGTCCTAATGAGGTCAGAAATTCCCAGCCTGTTACAGATTTGAGGCTGAGCTTTGGAGACGACTCTGCTCTTGCCAATTTCAGCAGGCAGTGAGGACGTTCGGCTCTCCTGGGAGATCTTTACACCTCTTTTATAAATAAATCTATTTTTCAGTGATCTTCTGCATAGTATGGCTTTTCTACTCATCTTAACAAAGAATATGCAATTTAAAGAAAATCTATCTAGAAAAACATATCAGCCTTTAGAGAAGGATAGTGCTAATAAGAAAGTAATTAAGTAGTTACATGACTGCAGAGAAATGAATAAACAGGAGTTTTACATTCACGAGGGGGAATAGAGAGATTCTGAGGAGCTCAAATCAGATCTGATGCCACTTCATTAATTTAAGGAAATAGGAGAGGTCTGGAGTTTTTATTTTCTTCCACTGGAGAAAGAGGAAAGTATTTAATTTATGTTAAATGTGTCCTATCAGGTTTCCCATCTTTATAAAGTTCAGTATTTCCCCACTAAAAGTAATTCTTATCTCAGCTTTACATTACCTTAAAGTTCTTCTTCTCTCTTTTTTTCTCCCCAATATCTAAACATGGAAAAAGCTTAGACTTCCTAAGAAGTTAGACTTCCTAAAATGGATGTTTATGTCCATTACAAATCTTAACACTACTCTGTCATTTGTAGTTCTGATGCAGGAACACAGAACCAGAAACCGCCCACTGTCTGGCTGCTCTTATGTTGTCCTCAGTCTTCCCAGTGGTTTACCAGAATTTCCAAACAGGAACATCACCATCTAATCCCTTTGTAAGCTCTATGAACATTTGCTGGCCAGGCTAACATCACCTCAGTGAGACAGCTAAGTTCAGTTCCCTGTGATTTGGAGCTGATGTGCTGAGGGACAAGTCTGTACGACTTTCCTGGTGTGACAAGAGAATAAGTGCTCCTCCCCCACAGGGTCCAGAGAGCTGCATATGATGGGCTGGCCACATATGAGAGTCACTTCCTAGTAGATTTGGACATCTACTGTTGCATAAACAGTGTAGACAGCTGGATTGAGATATTTAAAATACTTGGCATGGGAAAGCACGCAGAAACAACCGCTTCAAGTCGAAAAACATTGACTGTCTATACATATAATTTTATGGAGGAAAAATCACCATCACAAAGTGAAAGCATTTTCCAATTACTTCATTAAGGCTTACACGAGTCTTAAGAAAGCATTAAGTCTGCTTTCTTACAGTGGCAGCAGTCCTGGTGGCTGTTGCTGATCAGCAACAGTGGAGGGGTCAACCTGCATCCTACATTTTTTCTAGACATGCCAGGATGCTATAGCAGAGTCTTGGGGTTACAGAGTTGTTCCATGTGTGTGGCAGGCTGACCCTGGCTAAATGCTAGATGCCCAAAGCCACTCCATCAGCTGGGCAGGGGAGAGATAATAGAGTGAAAGACAAAACAGGATTATGAGAAATAGACCCAAATCATAAACCACACCTTCCCATCCCACCCTCCTTCCCAGGCTCAGCTTCACTCCTGATTTTCTCTACCTTCTTTCCCCCTGAGTGGTGCATGGGGATGGGGAGTGGGTGTCGTAGTTCAGCTCATCACATGTTGTCTCTGCTGCTCTTTCTCATTGTGCTCTTCCCCTGCTCCAGCATGGGGTCCCTGCCATGCAAGACAGTTTTCAACAAACTTCTTCATCATGAGTCCCTCCCATCAGGTGCAGTTCTCCATGAAGTGCTCCATCATGGGTCCCCTCCAGCCCCTCAGGAACAGACTGTTCTAGTGTGGGTCCCTGCAGGGTTACAAGACCTGCCATCAAACCTGCTCCAGCTTGGGCTCCTCTCTCCATGGGTCCACAGATCCCACCAGGAGCCTGCCCCAGCATGGGTTTCCCATGGGGGTCTCCTTCAGGCACATTCCCCTGCTCCAGTGTGGGTCCCTCCACAGGCTGCAAGTGCATCTCTGCTCCACCATGGATCTCCATGGGCTGGAGGGGCACAGCTGCCTCACCACGGTCTGCACCAGGGGAATCTCTGCTCTGGCGCCTGGAGCACCTGCTGCCCCTCCTTCTGCACTGATCTTGGTTACTGCTGGGTTGTTTCACATATTCTCACTGCTCTCTGTGATGATGTTCTGCAGGTTCTTCTTTTCCTCTTCTTACACGTGTTATTTGTTTGTTTGTTTGTTTTGTTGCCTATTCTGGTTTTACTTTCGTTTTGGTTCTGCCTCTATATTGGCAGTGATGGGAAAACCTTGATTTTTAGTCCTAATGTAGGATAAATGTGAAAGTGTTTGTAAGCAAACCTATCCTCTCAGGCTGGAGGCAAGCAAGAGCAGCACGTATCATTTTACATTCTTCCTCCCTGCTCTAGAGTAATTTCCCAGAAAAGAACAAGAATCAGCTGGGTCAGATTTGGGGGCCAGACTTACTGGATCAGCCTGACATGGTGTGCAAGTCTGTGGATTGAAGCTCCCATGGGTTGAAAAATAATTGCGTCTGCAGTTAGTGTGCACCCACACACAATGAAAGCTCTATCAAGGATGTCTAATTTGGCTTTCACCTCTCATTAGCTTAATGCAAAATGCCCTGGTCCAGCTGGAAATGGTGTAGAAAATCATACAGTTTAATTCTCCTTAACATTATTTGTTGTTTTTATTGTATTCTTCTTCTGCAAGTCTTGAAGGGTGTTGTAGCAGCCATTTCACATGGGCCATATTCTGCATTTCACTGGTGAGCTTTGCTGACTGGCTCACCACAGTGATGTCAACACACTTCTGGGATTAATCATCATGGACATGTGAATTTAACAAGGGAGTCCAGGGAAGAGGAAAAAATGGGATAAAATAATAAAAAAAACATGTATGTGCTGGTTAATCAAAAACATTTTTATCCTTTGTTTATGGGAAATACACCTTTCCTTTGAATATGGGAATCATATCCTTTGCCTTGAAATGCCCTATAAATTACACATAGCAAGTTGCAAGAAAACACTGAAAAGCTGTAAAGGGAAGCACATGAATTCTGAACTATACTGGTTTTGAGGAGCAAACCTCCACTTCAGCTTCCTTATGCCCCCATCCAGTGTGTGCAACAGCTAAATAAATACCTCAAAGACTGAGACAGTGTTGTCCCTACCAATTGTTGTCAGTCAGAGATTCCGCTCCCTACTTGTTTCACCAAGAAAGAAATCATTACAGTAATAATCATATAGCAATTATCATAAAGGCACACAGGCATAGACTCTTATGGTCAGCCCGAGGAAAATTCTGCTGAGAAAATAATCCATCACCTCACACTGAGACAGAGAAAGAGGTGCTTTTTGTCCTAATGAGAGAATGTTCACTTGAGTAATTTTTAGGATGGTACTTTCTACTGTGCTCTGACTCTCAGCCCCAGAACAAGCTTGGTGAATCCTGAACTGATGGGATGTGTATTCAGTGCAGATGTCCATGAGGTAGGTGGAAGAGGAGCCAATGCAGACTCAAAGAGAGCAATCAAAATGCAGCTCATCGTGCTTGAAACACAGCTGCTGTATGAGATAGTATTTGCTTTCACTGGGTAAACCAAAGCAGCTTTCAGCGAGCTGTGCTGGCTGAAATACTCATCCAGCTGCCCAAAGAGTACCCCATGCTGGTGAGAATTGGAGCGCTCACAGAGTGTTCCAGCTGAACTTCCAAGTATTTCATCTCCTCTGTTAAGATCAGGTCAAGCAGATGATTTATGACCTTATACCATGGTTGTGACTAAAGACCTAACTTAACATGGAGAATCTGAGCCTTGTCACTGTGCCAGCTCTGAGAGTGAGCCTTGCTCCACAGAGCTTGGAAATGCATGAGCCAAAGGTGAGACAAACTCGTAATGGAGAAGAGGATGTGTCAGAGGGAGCAGAACCCGGGCTGCTGGTGCCTGTACACACTGGACAGGGGTGAGGGCAGCTACACATCACTGGGGGCTGAAGTACTGGGGAAATTGCTGTGTGCTGGCTCCTCGCTTCTGCTGCAGCTGAGAACAGCAATGATGCACAACATCTGCTT